TGCTTGGATTTCCAGGCAATTATTGATTGAAACAGGAACATTTCTCTTGTATCCATATTGTTTTTCCAATTCTCATACTACCGTAGTTGGTGGGCACTAAGCATAACCTGTGATCATTTGGGATGAAACAGTGGTCTTTTACAGGGGTATATGGCAAAACAAAAAATGGAAATAGAGAAAAGGGTCACCAGCCATGGTCCATTTCTGGTCGGATATCAGGAGAACAGAGTGGTTAATTCCAAGCAATTTTACAGCAGCTATGAGCAAGGAGATCACAAGCAAGGATTTGAGAATGTTTGGGAGGTGGTGATGTTGGCTATGTATAAATGCATTTCCATTAGCATGAATATTTAAACTTTATATATTTGCCATATACATTATATATTTGCCATATACATTACAGACCAGAGCGTTCCTTTTGCCCCTTTATTATTATTTAGTGTACATATTTTGGCTACAGTTCTAGTGAGATTCACCATGTAAGAGTAATATTCAAACTCATGATTCAGTCATTGGTGCCAAAGTAGAACCTATAGTTATTACGATGATCAGATTTCTAAATAACTCAGAAAACCTATTTTTATACAGTATTTCCTTCTTACAAATATAAGTTTGGGTTTGGAAATCCAGCTTGATTTTGTTTTGAATGCTAGAAATACAAATGTTCAGGATAAAATGAAGCATACTGAGTTGAAGCTAGATTTAATTGTACGTTCAGTAGATCCACTGAATTAATAATAAGATTTGGGTTAGTGTCCCATTGATTTTTAATGCACTCCTTTAGGGACAATCAGTTTATTACATGCACCTTTGGCTTTGTATTTAAAGCCTTATTTTAAATCTTTGCAGAACTTAGTGATCTGCACAAAAACTTAGTTTGCTTCCTCAGTTTTGAGATATTGCTGATTTGATTTGCCCCATCTTTGATTTAAACACCAAATGTCTGAAATGCTCAGGTGGCTTCTACTGGAGAAAATGCCAATTGAATTCAAAAGAGGAATCTAGGCAGAAAACTTTCAACAAATGATCAAATTGCATCTCTTTTAGTAACAGCAAGGAAATTAGATTGAACGAGAGTTTTCCTCCTCTGGAAGACTGACAATGTCAAGCTATCAGAGAACAGAGTTGTTAAATGAAACAGCTTTTTGTCTTGGGCTGCATACAAATGCATATCATTTGACTGGATGACTTGCAGCATAAATATTCTCATTCCACACTATTCAGGTGAATAATTTCCCTTTCAATATAACAGCAGAAACTGGCAACATGCAGTACAGACATTTTGACCCTTGCTCTATCACACATCTGCATTTTTGTCCATCCAATCATTGAGCATTTTTTCAGCTCTTTCAAAATGATTTCTTTCTGACCTCAGAAAGACATGGTGAAGCCAAACTCTGGTCAAGTATGTGAACCAATGAATTGTGACCTTGGGTTTCCTCCAGTGAAAGCTAGAAAAGGTTTCGTGCTGCTTAAATGCACCATTGAAAAGTTTCTGGAAATAAATTTGTAATTATATTTCCCTTTTTTTGAGTCAGAGCTTCTTGCTGAAAGGTGCTTTAATTTACATTAAAATATTTGTTTCTTTGTGGCAGCTCCTCAAATATTGGAATGCCGCTATCATGTCACTCCTAGTCTTTCTTTTCTCTAGACTAGCCTGCCCAATTCCCGCAACTGTTCTTCATATGTTTTAGTGTCCAGGCCTTTAATCATCTTAGTTGCTCTTCTATGCACTTTTTCCAAAGTCTCAACATTGTTTTTGTAATGTGCTGACCAAAACTGTATACAGTATTCCAGGTGTGGTCTTACTAAGGATTTATAAATATGTGGTCTTAATGAAGATTTATAAAGGATTTATAAATATTTCATGTGATTTTGATTCTATGCCTCTGTTTATACAACCAAGGATTGTATTACCTTTTTTGGGATGCTGCCACACACTGCTAACTCACATTTAAGTGATCGTCCACTATAGGACTCCAAGGTCCCTCTCACAGTTACTGTTTCTGAGCCAGGTTTTGCCTAATCTGTACTTGTACCTTTGGTTTTTCCTGATTAGGTATAAAACCTTGCTTTTCTCCACATTAAATTTCATGTTGTTGGATAGGGCCCATTGTTCAAGTCTGTCAAGATCTTTTTGGATCCTGAGTTTGTCTTCTGGGGTGTTGGCTACTCCTGTCAGTTTGGTGTCATCTGCAAATTTGATGGGTTCCCCTTCTGTTCCCTCATCTAAGTCATTTATGAAGATATTGAAGAGTACTGGGCCTAAGATGGAATCTTGTGGTACCCCACTGCTTACTTCTCTCCATGTGGATGTAGTGCCATTAAGGACTAGTGGTTGAGTACGGTTTGTCAGCCAGTTACAAATCCATCTTATGGTGATGCTATCTAGTCACATTTTTCTAGCTTAGCAAAAAGTAGGTTGTGATCTACTTTGTCAAAAGCCTTACTGAAGTCTAAGGATACTATGTCCACAACATTTCTCTTGGCTACTAATTTAGTCACCTTGTCAAAGAATGAAATAAGATTGGTTTGGCATGATCTGTTTTTAACAAACCGGTGCTGGCTTCTAGTTATAACTTTATTTGTTTTTAGCTGTTCTAGATTTTCATGCTTTTGTTCTTTTGTATTGCTTTTAATGCGTTGTTAGATGTCCTGAATTAGATTTGCAAGATGGGCATTCATATAAATCAATAAAGTCATTATTTATTATGAAATGTATTGGTAGGGTCCCCAGTGCTGTCTGAGCTTGGTGTTTTTTCTTGCAGATGTTTCATTACCAAACTAGGTAACACCATCCGTGCTAGAAGGAAGTAGGATTTCTGTCTTTCTTTAATATAGAGCATGCAACCTTTTCCATGTTTACATTCAAGGCAAATTAAAATCTCATTCTTAGCATTGCAATGACACTTAGAAAGAAAGTGTCTATTTTATATTACAGTAAGTTGAGTGCAGAGATAACCCATCTCTGTTCCTCTTTTCCTTTCATTTCCAACATCTTCATATGATATGGAGGGACGACAAGAGAAACAGCCTTCTGTACAGTATTTTCTGAGAACATGGGAATATGGGTGATGCAGTTGTAGACAATTTAATGTTATTGGAGTGCATAATGAAAGGACCATTGAAAATTATTTTACATAATCAATGTTAAGAGTTTTGTGTAAATATTTGACCAAATTGTATATAATGTAATATGTTTGGAGGTGCTATTTTTACATAAAGCTAAAATAAATATTAAAAAGAGATGTCATTGCAAAACACATATGGAAAGATAAAGGGTTTTCTGGCCTGCTTAGTTGTCATTATTGAAGGTAAATGACATCTAATGACAACGAGTAAAGAAAAAGGAAGCCAAATAAGAGAGGAATGTCGTGTAGTGATTAAAGTGGTGGAATGGAATGAGGAATGTTTTAGACTACTCTAAGCTGTGGAAACTCATTAAATGACATGGCTTCAATCTCTGTTAGTATTTTGTTTATTTGTTTATTTATATGAATGGTTGCCCATATTAAACACAACTCTTGGTGACTCAAAACAAAACCAGTAACTATAAAATCATAAACTATTAAATAAAACAAAAATCCAGTCCCTTACTCATCTCCTTATGATGCCCACAACCAGCTCCAGGTAGTTTTACTCTATCCCAATACCTGAGTAAAAGGCCAGATCTTGATAGCTTTCCGAAATGCTAAAAAAGTGAGAGCCTGCCAATTCATTTATAGGGGGAAGGTGTTTCTTAAAGTAGGAGGAGCTATAGAAAAGGCACACTTCTGAGGTCACATTAGATAACAAGATGTCAGGGAAAGAATCTGGAGCATGGCATCCTATCCAATATGGTAGCATGGATAGATCTCTCAGGGAGCTATGGTTCTGCACATAACCATGTCCCATGCTATGAAAACTTTTAAAGGTGGTAACCACCACCTTAAATTGGACCTGGAAGGAAACTGGAAGCCAGCGTAGCTTGCACAACATAGATGTAACATTGCAAACATGCAGTACTGCACACACACTGCATTCTGGACCAGTTGTAGCTTTCAAGTAGTCTTCAAGGGAAGCACCACATCAAGCACACTGCAGTAATCCAAATGGGAAATGACTAAAGTATGGGTGAGCATGGTCTCTGGGTCCAGGAAAAGCACATTTGGGGCACTAGACAAATCTGTGCAAAGCCTTTCCTAACTATTGCTGCCACCTGCTTCTTGCTGTGAGTTCAGCAAGACTACCAAATTGCTCATCTGGGGAGGTGCAACCCTGTCCAGAGTCAATTATGACAGATCATCAGACTCTAGGGGGGAAAGGTCAAAAACCCAAAGCCTCTCCATCTTGCCAAGTATGAGTTAAAGTCAGTTTCTCCCCATCCAAATTTTCAGTCTCTAGCACTTGGTCAGCACCACAATCATATCATCTGTCTGGCCTGAATGCAAGGATATATGTTGCCTTGCATTACTGAATAAGAAGAAAGAAATAAACATTTTAAAATTAAAAATGGTGGAAAATATTTGCAGCTTACGTGGTAGATGTTGATGGTGGTTCAGAAATTAAACAACAAACTCGGAGAACAAACCACCACCAACACATTTTAAAATCATAAATTAGAAAGATAACCATTTAAAACAATATGCAAATTTTTCCTAATAATTGTATAGACTTTCTCATCAAATTCATCTTCTTAAATCAGATTATTCCCTTCCTAAAAATGATTAATCTGCTTCTCTAAAATCAGATTATTCCCTTCCAACATAGTTTCCATCCCAGCTCATTAGTAATCTGATTGAAAATAACACTCAATAACATTTCTTCACATGTGTTTTACTCGAAAGAAGTATAAGCTATCATGGCCATTAACTTAAGTCTGAATATAGAATTTTAAGCCTGTTGATTGCATAACTTGGCACTTGAAAGTAAGGATTAGCAATTATGTACTCAAAGCTCAACATTTGTGGGCTCTACTATAACCACTGATTCTGACCATCCAAATGTCTGGTTTCCTCAAGGTGCAGTTGAAAAGTGATGAATCAAAAACCTTTGCAATGAAGATACTAAAGAAACGCCACATAGTAGACACGAGACAGCAAGAACATATACGCTCAGAAAAACAGATCATGCAAGGCGCTCACTCAGATTTTATTGTGAGGTATGATTGTGTTCTTGGCTAAAACTCCCTTCTTTCAGAGTGCAGAAATTTGTTCTCAGATTTTCATTGCATTCTTATATCAAATTGCTATATAATACCTTATGTGGTCTAAACATTCATTCAGATGCCTGAAATATCTGATGAGTGCATGAATTCTGATACATGATACTATGTTATTTATCATTGTAAATACCATTTGGTAACTTAAATGAAGAGTAAAGTTGCAATGTGCACAAAAAAATATGGGTTTCTACTTTATAAAACAGCAAATGCTTTTTTAAAGATAGACATTTGCTTATTAAAAACTATGCAAGGCATGTTAACTATATTTTTAAAAGCTGTTGTGGTTTAGTGGTTAGAATGCAGTATTGCAGCCTAATTCTGCCAACAGCCAGCAGTTCAATTCTCACCAGCTCAAGGTTGACTCAAACTTCCATCCTTCTGAGGTCGGTAAAATAAAGACCTAGATTGTTGGGAGGTAATATGCTGACTGTAAACCGCTTAGAGAGGGCTGTGAAGTACTATGAAGCAGTATATAAATCTAAGTCCTATTGCTATTGTTATTTCTGCTCTCCTTCCCATTCTTAACTAAGAGCTTTAGCAGCACAGGTCATAGTAACTCATTGTGTATGGATGGATACACACAAACATGCACACATTTGTACCTCCAAAATGTTACAAAGTGGCTTGGAACAACATTGAATTCTGCCTTTGCTTCTTTAAATACTTGGATCCCTAACCTCTTTTGAGTCATCTTCATTATAATTTTATGAAACTTGTATAAAATAGTAAAAATACAAGTAAAAGTTGTTTCTGCCTGAGAGTTAATTCATAATATCCAGTTTTATAGCAAAAATATTGTAAATAAGAAAAATATACTAAAATCCCTTCACAGAATAGCTTATTTTGATTAAAAGCAGTCCAAATATTACAAAAATGTGAGATCTGCTTATGTCAGAATTATTCATCCAGCTAGGGAGTATTATGGACAAGACAAGAAAGGAGCAAAACAAATCATCTCTAGTACGGTCTTGGACTATATATACAACTAAGTTCCTTCATTATTCATAAATAGAGCCATATGGCACATAGGTTAGAATGCAATATTGTAGGCTAATTCTGCTAATTGTCAGCAGATCAATTCTCTCCGGCTCAAGGTTGACTCAGCCTTCCATCCTTCCAAGGTCAGTAAAATAGGACCCAGACCAGGGGTAGGCAACCTGCTGGCTCAGGAATTCTGGGAGTTGAAGTCCACAAGTCATAAAAGAGCCAGGGTTGCCTACCCCTGACTCAGACTGTGGGGGCAATATGCTGTCTCTGTAAACCACTTAGAGAGAGCTGTGAAGCACTAAGAAGCGGTATATATGTTTAAGTGCTAGTGCTCTTGCTCTCACTATAATGGAGGATCCAAAAAAGAACATGAAATAATATGTAAAGCAATTTCACAAGAAAAAGACAATTAGAAGTTTTAAAAGAAATCAACCTTGTTGGGTCGTATTTACAAACATGTTTTCCAAGCCGATAGGCCAAATTTTCTGGTCTTTTGCCAGAAAAGAGATGCAACAGTTTTCTTCTGCATCTGGCAGTGTTTTTATGAGATGTCGAATCAATGTACCACTTAAGTCCATCTCAGAATTACCATATTATAGGACATGTTGCATATCCTCTGTAACTGGGAACCCCACAGGCAGAGGCATTCTTGATGGACAATCTTTTGATATTTGCCATAAATGATAGCTGAAGGCAATTCATTGATCCTGGCAAGGCCAAATGTCTTACAACATCTTTTATTTATTAGAGATTGGCAACAGTTGGTATAGTAAACCTCCAGTATTTATATTCCCTTGATGCAGGAAAAGAAAAAAGCAGCAGAAATCCTCAAAAGCTAAGTCACATGTTGTCTACTGAATTCAGGAAAAAAAATTAATGGACGGAAGTCTGAATAGATTAGATAGACTCATTTTTTCTCAGAACGATAACAATACACCTAAAAACCACCAGCTATTCTTTAAATGGCAAAAGATCATAGACTTATTATTTAATATTTCAAACTCCATTAAGCATTCATAATTCTTTTCCCCCTTTCTTTTATAGGCTATATAGGACATTTAAGGACAGCAAGTATTTATATATGTTGATGGAAGCCTGTTTAGGTGGAGAGCTTTGGACAATTCTCAGGGACAGGTAAGAGATGTCATAAGGTTTATTTTGATAGGAAATAAGATTCACTTGGCATACCAAATGTGATTACACAAACAAAGCTATATAATTAAAAAAAATAAAAGTTTGATTATTCCTATCACAATTAAATAAGGCATACTATATGTCATAAAATTTAAAATACAAGTTTAAAATATGTACAAATTAAACACATCTTGCCCAGAAACTAGCAACATTAATTAAATTCTTTTGTGTGCCCTGAGGTCCTGATCAGTGCAAGTGTGCACTGATCAGGACACAAAGGACAAGTATCAGTATACATAAGTGTTGTTGTCTGCATGTCACCACAGTCACAAAGGGCAGAAGCCATCAAATAGCCCCATTTTCAGATCTTGTATTTGCTTCCCATTTTGTATCCGGTGACTCTGGGCAGCTTACAACATAAACACATTGAAAAACATTAAAATCATCCATTATAAAAACACAGCAAATGAAACATTAATAGATAAAATCAAGAAGACAAGATGGCAAAGAAAGGAGCCAGACACACCAGGGGGGTGGAGGGGAGGACGTGGTGTTGAGTTTTAACTCAACCACCTCCAGTATGAAAGCTCCCTCTTATTAATGTAATGTGGGAAAGAAGCATCATTTCATAGAATTATTTCCCAATTATCTCTGTCCTATCAGAATTCTCCTTTTAGTTGCTTTTCCCTACTGCTTTTCACAAATAGTAAGCTGTAACTTACCATGTCTTTTCTAAGGTACATCCCTACAGCATTTGTTTTGAGCGATACATGCAGCCAATTTGATCTCTGTCATCTTCACGCTCTGAGAGCTTTTAAGTCCAAGTTGTTTTACTGTGTAAACATTTCTGGCAGAGATGATGTGGTATATGAAATGTAACTTGCATAGCTAGTTCCCTCATTTTAGTAAGGAAATAGAAATAATCTGTCTGTTCCAGGCTTTTGGATCAAAAGAACTTGAATGGTATAATGGAAAGAATGAATTTGGAAACAGTCAAATTCTGGCTTGGCTGTGATACCAGTTGTGTATCCTTGAGCAGGATTCAAAATGTAATCTAAATACGTAAAAACTAGTGTGTTGTACTGCCATGTAAACAACTCTTCATTTTCTAGGGCTGACAAAAAAAAGCAACTGCTTTCTATGCAGATTTGGTTCAGACTTTCAGTTTAAGACAATATTCTGCTCTAGATCATAATCCCCAGGCTGTGTCCCACTACCAGGCCATGGCCTATCTGCAACCCAGGCCACACAAGCAGCGGGCTGGCGCACATGCACAGAACAACTTGCGCAAGTCATGCTGTGCATGCACGTGCATGTATGCCAGCCCACCACTCATGCAAGTTGAGCTGCACATGTGTACTGGCCCGCTGCTCACATGATCTGGTTCCTTTCCCCCCTCCCCCGCTGGGCCACCAAGCCCCAAAGGTTGAGGACCGCTGCTCTAGATGATGATCAAGATTAGATGTGTCCAAAATGTATGTATCTAGTAGAATTCATGGCATTGAGCTAACTACCAACTGATTTTGAAGGAAGACTGGATAAGCCTATTGTTGGAAATTACTTAGGACTGCTGGCAGCAACAGGAGTGTATCCTCAAATGATCCATATCTTGGCCGACAGGGCAATTCTGACAGATATCCCTGCCCAAAAAAATCTTTGGCATCGGCCAGCAGAAATAAACTTCTGAAAGCCCAGCAAAGGGTTCCTGTATCACCCTACTCAATTCAGTCAGTGTGTTGTTGAATTAGTGTTGTTCTCTTAAAGTTGACAGATTTCACTATTATGATGGTGCTAGTTTCAGGCAACAGGGTAAGCCATTCACGAAAGTAATGCTGCAATCCTGTTCTGACCTAAATAGAAATTCCATTACATTCAATGGGACTTCCCTGGGAGGATTTCTTTTATTTCATATATTACCTACCACTCTAATCTCTATACTCTGGGTTGTTTATAAAATGCAGCAAGAAAGAAAATACGACCAATAAAACCATATATCTCACCAAAGCCACAACAATACATTTTGCTGCAAGCAATCAACAACTCAAATCCAGCTGCCCCAATAACACTAATCCTCAAATATCTGGGAGAACAAAATTGGGGAGGGGGCAATCTCAACTTGGAGAACAAGCTGTCTGCAATGCAACCAAGGAGGTCTGCTTCCACCTCCCAACCTGTATTAATGTATTTATTTTAAGATCTGTTTTTTATTGGGGTTAGTTTGGTTTGGTTTTCTTATTTTAAAACTTGTTTTTAACTATCCAGAGGCTCTACTGTGGTGCTGGCAGCCATGTAAAACAAACAACCAAACAAAAAGTGTAATGTGGGATCAGGACATGGAAACACCCTGTCCCAGGAAGACTTTGCAGGATAGGTAGATTCTTCCTGATTTCAAAGACAACCAAGATGGACTTTATCATTCATACCAGCATTTTGAACTGAATGCAGAAACCTATTGGCCAATCAGTGTTGAGCCCACAAAGAAGATTAGTATATATTATCCCAATATACTGTTTTTCAAAAGGCAACTGGACTGTTTTTCCTTGAAGATGTTTCACTTCTCATCCAAGACGTTTCTTTAGTTCTGAATGAATGGTGGAGGATGGAAGGATTTATATTCCTTGCTAACAACCAGATGACTGTAAGGAATATAAATCCTTCCATCCTCCACCATTCAGTCAGAACTGAAGAAGCTTTTGAATAGCAAGCGAAATGTCTTCAAGGAAAAACAAAGTCCAGTTGCCTTTTGAAAAGCATCTTTGGAACAACCATGACCTGGATGACTGAGAATCTCCATAGACATCTGTATATATTAATTAGGCCATGGTATTCTGGACCAACTGCAATTTCTCAGATGCCTTCAAAAGTAGCCCCAGGAAGAATATGTTGCATTCCTATATAATAGAGGTGTTAATGATGAGTTAGTTTCACAAGTTATCCACCACCACCAAAAAAGAGGGTTTTATTAGTGCACGGCTCTCTATTTGCTGATCAAGCAGGAGCTTGAATTCAGATAAGCGTGTGAATGTGTATGAACATAGTGGGGAAGGTAATCTTGTCCAGAGCCAGAATAGAAGTCTGAATCATGCAGCTTTGCTTTTTGTATGAACACTACTTCCACTTTGCCTGGGTTTAATTTCACCCAGTTTTTCCCATCCGATCCTTTTCAGCTTCCAGATATCGAATAAAGATCTCCTGTGGATCTATGGCTCAGACTAGGAAGATAACGAATGGCTGGGTATGATTAGAGTATTGATGATACCTCACCCAAATTGATGTTTGACCTCTTCAAGGTGTTAAATAGCATTGGATTCCTCCCCCACCATTCCAGTAGGATTCTCCATCCCCAGACATAACTGAGACTGCTTAACCCACTACTGATCATCTCTTTTCTTTCAAGCACTTTCAGTAATGTATCTCATCCCGACCTCCTTACATTCCTCCTTGTGTTCCTTCAAACATTCTCCTTGGGGCTTGCAAGTTAAGCCTCCCCACCCATGTCCCTGCCCACACCCACCCCTGCCCAGTGCATTATCACTTTCAGACAGGGAGCTACTGTACATATTCTCTTCCACACAATCAATGTTCCTCCAGATCTCCTTTCAAAATATCATGGAAACCATTTCAACTAAAGGAAGCATCCATAGTCAACAGCAGCAATCCAGCCAAAACAAATTGTTCCTTTTAATAAGCATTAAAGATCCAGGTCCTATTACAGAATGTCATCTGATGGGGCCCAGGAAGAGAGCATTTTCTCTTCCAGGGATTAGGTTGGCCCCAACCCATCTGTCTTTTTTGCAAGGCCTTAAAGATGCAGTTTTGGCCCTATGTTGGGGAACTGGATGTGTGGAAAATTGTGCAGTCATTGTATTAATCTGTCACTGTTAGTTTTAATTTTAACCTTGGCTACTGATTAGTATTTTTATGGAGTTTTATATAATTTTATGTAGTGTTAGAAGTAAGTCTTCATCCTGGTTCATCCAAGCCGGGAATAAATAAGCAAACATGGCGACTGCTTTGGGAAGAAGGTTACAGTTTATTGCAGAAGAAAGATGGTCCTTGCAAGAAGGAGCAGAGGAGAAGAAAGAGAGAGAGCACATGGGTAGAAGGGCTTTTATACCCCCTCCAGCCCTGCTTGGAATAGTTTCNTCAAGTGTGATTATGAATGGTGTTTGTGTGTGTATGTGCAGCTACTTCTACAAAACAGGCAATACAAACATTCTGGATAAATTTTCCCTCCCACCAGATAGAAGTCCAAAGTGTTCAGTACTTGCTGTGCCAACTATTCCCAAATGCCATCTCTCCATTAATACATTCAACTGGCTTGTTACAATACAAATGGGGCAAGGAAGAAAAGTTTACAATGAGTTTCCACCCTCCCCCCACAGTCTAATTTTCTCTTCTGAGGCTTCACATGGCACCAGTGGCTCCAGGACTCCTTCCTTCTGTAGCTCTCACAGGCATCTGGAGAATGGTAGGACTTGGGAAGATGTTCCACTCAGATTGCATGGTGGCTTTTTAGTGGATGGCTGGATTCAAAACCCAATTCCATGGCTCAAATGGATGGAGGCAGCATCTGGGTCTGTGTGTTCTGCTTCCAAAGGTTTGGGGGCAGGGCTGCAGGGCTGAAAGATACAAGAAAAAGGTCTCCCCACCTTTCTGGGTGGCCTCTCCCAGGAGAGGCAGACAAAAGATATGGAGAACAAAGGACAAGAAAAAGAGAAGTACCTGAGGGAAGGTGGGGTTGCTTGCAGGCAGTTTTGAAAAGACATTAATACTGCAGTTGTTAAAGAATCAGGCAAACAAAATCTGCCTTTAACATTTATTCTAAAATAGACCACATTGTTTTAGAGATTGAGAAATGCTTATATATTTAGGATAAGAAAAGTTTCATAGTAGCTTCACCAATAAGTGATAGGATAAGAAAAGTAACTTAAGAAAATTATTTCCCTACACAAGCAGACTTGAGCTTCAAAAGGCTCTTGTAGATAAACACACATTTT